AATTTATATTTTAAATGAACGTGCTCTAATTGCTGCCACATATAATTGTCCATGCGAAATTACTGGACGTCACAATAATATACACATTATTCCAAAAATTTTATCCTGCGATTTGATTATGGTCATAGCAAATACAACTATTAATAGGAACGTTGTTCTTTGAAAGTACTAAGTAATAATAGACCCAATTACCTTAGTAAATAAAAAGTTTTCGATTTATCAAAAAACAAAATAAAAGAAATCGAACTTGGAAGGGAAAGAAAAGGTACTGAATGTTTAAAATGATATATCTCTGCAACAAATAGTCCGATTTCGATGATTTTTTATTTATTTTGTAGGTAATTCAGAAAGCTTTATATTATATTACAGAAAGCTTGGTATTATTAATAAAAAAATGTGTACTTTTTGAGTTATTCTCAAATGAAATACTGAATTCATCATAAAAATGTATGCAGCTTGTTTTCGGGAAAGTATGTTATCTACATCAATTATAAAGGTTTCAAGGGGAAGACTTTAGCCAAGTTTCATTGAGATCGTTGAAGCCGTATTGGCGCTACAGTCTAAAGCGAATCACGTTTTTCGGCCACCATTATGAAAGGAAAGGCCCGATGATAATGAAACGTATACAAAAAAACTTCTAAATATTATTGCAACGTTGTGTCAAAATTAAAAAAAAATCAGTGAAGAACTTTCGGAGATAAGCCGTTTTGAACAAACTACCATTTATATTTTTATTGACATACTGTTTAATATTTTTATTTATTGATAACACTAAAGCTCGTCAATATCTATTAAACAAAAGCAGAATGAAGAAAATCGGTTGAATAATAGAGGAGTAAAAGGGGCTGAACCGATTTGTGTTTGCCTATTTATATAATGATAACATGTTCATAAAGTATAAACAAACATTTAAAACAAAGAAACTCGAATTTATAGGGACATATTTTGAAAAAAAAAAAAAAAACATGAGCTAAGAGGAAAAAATTTATTTTAAAAAATAATTTTTTTTTTCTCGTAAACCGGCACGAACTCGAAGGTAATTATTAATGGAAATTAAATTATAAACCTTCTAATTAATTTCTGTGGAGGTAGATTTAAATTTGTTTAATGTTTTTCATTAAAAAACCTTTAAGAGTCTATAAAAGTTCAAGCAGCATAAACTTAAATTATGATAATAAAGTTAAATTATCGTAATAAAGATGATTCATTAATTTTGGTTCATCAAAATAGTTGTGGTACTTTTTATAAAAAAATAACATCTTCCATGGACGGTCGTTTTAATAAGATATCTTAGGTGGAAATTTTTAATTAAAAAAAACTAACGATGGACAATGATAATAGAAACTAAGAAGAACAGCTTCACCAAAAAAATATGAGGAAATTCGAAATTTCAGATATTGGTCCTATGTCCACCAAATGCATAGGTTGGCCCCACTGTGCGCCGTTGCCCGGCAACCCCTGATATATGACATGAAATAGTCGAGAGTTCGCGTCCCGGTGCCGAGGGAGTCTTTTAAATCCCCGCTGTGATATCCGTCCCTAATTCAATATACACAGAGTACGAACGAGTCCGACCCCAAAAGTTTTTTCCCCTTCCTTAAATGGGGCGTGGCTGAAACTTTTCTTATCGGAAGTGTTTCTTGAAACGACCCTTTAAGTCAAGCAGCATCTTTCCGCCTTTTTAGCCATATTTGACGAATAAAGACAATTAAAAAAATCTTTCTGCCTTATAGAAAATATTTCAGAATTAATTATTAAATAAAAATATGTAACAGATATTGGTATTTGAATCGTATTATTTATTGGATATTTATAGGAATGCAAATGTTATCTTGCTTTGGTGAACTGTCCATCGGAAGATCTATTTATCTGTTTAAAATATTCATCGGTCATTGCGAATTATCACATGTCTCTTGCACAGGTGAAGGGGTCCTAGGCCCTACTTCAACGTCAGACATTACCTTTTAAAATATTCATAAGCATAGTGATAACAGTTACATAACCATCAATTAACACATAAAAAGATACAATGATTATTGGAATCTTACCGTGTACGATTTTATTGTGGAAGATAGGAATAGAACTGTGAATAGATCCTGAAGAAGGACTTTGGCAGCCGTCTAGAAATAATTAGTAATCAAAATAATAGCTCATATAAAAGTATGTAACAGATCCTCTAGGGGATAAAATACTATTCATTGCTTCAACACCTAAGTAAAATTGATTCTAAACATTAACTTGATCAATGATATCTAACGGAAGTCCATGTGTGTGAAAAGATTACCTATTTGGCTTGATCATATACACTGATTTGAATCTTCCTAGCTTTTTCTTTCATTTGAGCGAAAACTATTTTCGCACTGTGATAATCTGAAAAAAAGAGGTCGAACGTATCCACGGGCAGATCTACGGGGGGAGGGGGGATGCTTTCGGGCTGAAGCCCCCCAAAATGGTAAAATATAACCACGTTTTATCGAAAACAATATTAAAAAAGTATCTCTTAAAGTATTATTGTTCGTGTAATTACATTTAAAAGGGCTTTAGGAATCACTTAAACGCCATTTCATATAGGTTGTTAGTTTCTTTCTTTTTTTCCAAAGTAATTATCGTTATTTTTATGAAAAAAAAAACTTTCGAGCTGAAGCCCCCCCCCAAAAAAAATTAATCCTGGATCCGCTAGTGACCGTATCTAAAGTGTTAGATAAATTTACAATTAGAATACACATTAATTCGGATAATGTATAGTTCAAGCAGATAATAACAATTCCTTACAATCTTTTGGGCCGTATTCGGACTCCAAAAAACACTCCATCGAATCTAATCAAATATGTTTCTTTAAACGAAGCTTATCTTATTTAACTTTAAATATTGTCAATAATATTTAATTATTCATCTGAAAGATGAGTTTTTAACTTATTACCTTAAAAATAGAGTCCGCTAGTGAAGTCTGTGACAAAACAACAACACAATCTCCTAATCTACCTCTCCAATAGCGATAATGTTCGCTTCGCTAATGAACCTCCCCACCTCCTTCTCAACACATTTCAGATTACTTTTTCCCTGCTAAAACTTCAGTAATTAACGAACTTTTTATTCGTTTCATATTATCGACTTATTGATTTATTCCCTTCCCAAATAAAATAAAATCTATTTAAATTAAAACCACGTAGAGTTGGTGGTTTTTGTGATTTCCATTACTATTATTATCTTCTGTCTTTTACTTCAGCTACTAGCTTGCAGTATTTCCAATAATGAATGCGCTGATTAAATATCACCCAGATATTTATCATAATTATTGGTTCCGAACACTAGCGGATCCGGAATTTAATTTTTTTTGGGGGGGAGGTGTCTCATCAGAGGCTTTTCGTGAAAGGCCTCTTTGTTTGATACTAAGGTTGTGTTTTTCGAATTCACTTCTGTACAATGTCCGTACTTTCTGTTTCTCCTTGATGACCAAAGCTGTTTCCTTCTCTAAAATATATAAATATCTTTTTTTTAAATATATAAATAAAACATTTTTTTTTGTTCAATCGAGGGCAACGTTTACCTCTTTTCAAATTATTTTTTCGCATAGTAGATATAGATCACTTATAGAATAAATCAGTATCACGTTTTATAATATTTATAGAAAAAAAAGTCGATAGTACTTTTACTTATTTATTAAATTACTAAAATCATTACCTTGTTAAAGTCTCCGTTGGAAGTCCAAGTGTGTGTGGAAAGACCACTGGTATTCGCGAAGATCAATCCTCAAGGGTTGCATTGAAATCCTTCATAATCTTTTTTGTCTCACAAGGACCATGTCGAACAAATATTAGATAAATATATTATTAGAATATGCATTTATCGGGAATATGTATCGTTGGCGATTATGGACATTAACACCTACTATTTTTTTTTTTTTTAACTTAAATTTTACTTAACAACTTAAGTAATTGGAACAAGTTAGAGAAGAGATACTGCTGAGTACTTTCCTTCCCCATTCATCATCTCATGTATCGCTATCATATTTGCTGATTGTCAACAATAAGTTGACAGGCGCAAATAAATCTTTTATAGACAAAAAAAAAAATTACTTAAAATATTTTAGACCGCATTCGGTCCCTAATAGATCCTCCAGCGTGTCTTATCAGAGGCGTTTCTTCAAACGCCGGATTGGTTGAGGCTAAGGTTATTCTGTTTTTCGAATTCACTGCTGTACAAATTCTGTACTTGCTGTTGATGATTAGGGCTCTGTTAAAAATGGGAGGGACTCCAACACATTGCCAAAGAATTTTTAAATTGAAGAATTTCATTCTCAACGGTGACAAAACTCCATCTGAAATAACATACAAATCACCAATTAATAAAATATATAAACTAAAATAAAACATACAATGTAAAAATGGTGGTTATTAAAGATTAAAACTAAGTACAAATAGCTAACTTATAATTATTTGTTAGGTCGAAGGCAACGTTTACCTTTTCTTATTTTTTCGCATAGAAGATATAGATCACTTATAGAATGAAAAAATACAAATCAGTATCACGTTTTAAGATATTTTTAGAAAAAAAAACTTTGTATTATTTATTAAATTATTAAAAATCATTATCTTGTTGAAGTCTCCGGTGGAAGTCCAAGTCCATGGAAAGTGCACTGACATTCGCGAAGATCAATCCACAAGGGTTGCATTGGAATCCTTCATATTTTTTGTCGCACTTCAAGAATCTGAAAAGGACCATGTCGAACAAATATAAGATAAAAATATAATTAGAATATACATTTTTCGGGATTACGGATCGTTCGAGCTGATAATAACAATTGAACCTCCTGCGTGTCTTATCAGAGGCGTTTCTTGAAAGGTTATTCTTGGAGCATCTGTCTCCCTCCTCTTCAGCAATAGTTTGTGAAGATGGGCTTTTTCTGCTTTCTAGAAATTTTTTCAGAATTAATTCATAGATAAAAAATATGTAACATATATTGGTTATTGAATAGTATTATATAATGGATACTTAAATAAATGCAAATGTTATCTTGCTTTGGTGAGCTCTCTCATGTCAACTTCCGCCATCCATCGGAAGATCTATTTATCTGTTTAAAATATTCACCGGCCATTGCGGATTATCACTCGCCTCTTGCACTGGTTAAGGGTCCTAGACTCTACTTCAACGTCAGCCATTACCTTCTAAAATATTCATAAGCATAGTGATAACGCATACACAACCATCGATTAACTCATAAAAATATGCAATGATTATTGGAATCTTACCGTGTACGATTTCATTATAGAAGATAGGAATATAACTGTGAATAGATTTAAAGAAGGACTTTGGCAGCCGTCTAGAAATAATTAGTATAACTATAACATGTTTTAGCGTTTAAAAATGCTTTAATAAAAATATACTTGACCTCTCTTTTTATATAAAATGTATCGAAATCCCGTTAAAACACTTTCGAAAGTGGTACCTCTCTTTTTATATAAAATGTATCGAAATCCCGTTAAAACACTTTCGAAAGTGGTAAAGGTAGAAGTGAAGTTACAGAATTTTTAAGTTTGTTGAATGCAATCAAACTTAAATAAAAGGTAAGAAGCACCAATATTCTCATCTTAGTCAAAAATTACAGTTGTAATATTTTTTTTTATTATTATTTCTTAATGATATTTACAACTGTATTAAAGAAATACATTTAGTAAATTTGAACATATGGATATAATGACGTGAAAACACTTGTTGAGTAACTACCCAATGGTAGTACTCTAATGATTTGTCTACATTAGGAGATCACGGGGCCATCTAATTTTCAGACGCCTCGGATGGTTATCAGGAATTGAAAAGGAAGTAAGTCTAGAAACGAGAGGGTTGGGATGATTCTTATGGAAGTTTATTATGGTTTGTTTTAGGTCTTTTTAAGGTATCTGGATCGGGATAGATCTGAAACATAAGAAACATTAAGGTCATTATGGATGTTTTTATTTGTAACAAAGTAGCAAACAATCTTCTTGAATCTAATCATGACGTTATTCTACAGGATGTTCGGTGAATCTGAAAATAAAAAAAAACTATATCAAATACGTTCTATAGATAATTAACATATATACATACACACACACACACACACACACACACACACACACACACACACACACATATATATATATATATATATATATATATATATATATATATATATATATATATATATATATATATATTGAATGGTTGGAAAATAAACTTTTTTCAAAAACACATATATTGAAATTTAGAACTACTTTACATGAAAAATATATCAAGTAAATTTGAAATTGGTAACCTGGCATGTACAACATACCAAATAAAAAAATATTTAAAATTCACCTAATCAAGGCAAAAACTATTTCATAGTACTAATGTGAAAGAAGTGAAATATAAAAATATTTCATGGATGTATAAAGCCTGTATTTATAACCTTAAATACATTTACTGTAGTTTAATAATTCTAAATCTGATATTATATTTAAATAATTAGGTATCAACGTGCGTTTATCGTCGTGTAACATTTAAAAAAAAATAAATTATTGAATAATTTGTTAAATTAGTGTAAAAATGTTTGAGCTATCTATGGCAGGCGATGAAAATCTTGTAATTTAGTAATAAGTAGTATTAAACTTTACAATGGAAAATAATAGTTTAATAACTAATGGGCATAGAATCCATAATCATTTATAGGTTGAATATAGAGATATACTTTAAAATCTCTCTAGACATATGTATATTGCTCAGAGACTAGAGTTATGTGGTTCACGAAAAAATATGGGGTACCTAGGTTTTTATTGTCTACCGTTGATGTAATTAACAGGTTTTTTTAATGGTATTAATGATTTGTTAGCTGTAAACTTTGAGTTATAGATCCGTTAAAAGTGCACTTCAAAAATTTTATAATAGCTCAACATTTCCAGAAAATAATTTCTATTCAAACTAGAAAGGTAAGTGAAAGTTGTGTGTTGTGTGTATATATGTAATATATAGTAAGTGTAAGTATTGCGTAAAATTGTAGTAAGTGTAAAATTTTTGAATCTGAGTTTTCAACGAATTTACACGTTTTGAGGTACCCTGAGTCGAAATGACCAAGTCCAGAAAAATAGTCTGTGTGTCTGTGTGTTTGTATGTTAGTAGTCTAGCTCAAAAACGAAAAGTCCTATGAAACTGATATCACGTATTTAGGATAGGTATATGCCTTAGATGTGACGGCAACTTTTCCCTTAAAATCTGCTAACCGGAAGTGCCACTTTATATCAACGCTAAAACACATTTTCACAATTTTCTCAAAAAACGCTCTAACGATTTTGATTAAACTCGGTGTATCATTGTATAATTAAGTGGTCTTTAATATCAATTAGGTCTTATCCCCATTGATGTCACTTTACAGGGCTTAAATGCCCAATGTGCATATACGTCTTCCTCTAAAGTACCATTAATATCGTTTATTTTAAAAAGTTAATCATTTCACATTATTTAGAGTTACGAAAAAAATGCTAAATATAACTTTTGAAAGAAGTTAATAAAGGAGAAAAGAAAAGAAAAATGCAGAAAAACCTGCGTTGCTAAAACTCTAGCGCCGAAACGAATGTACCGATTTCAATGAAACTTCGCTAAAGTCATTTTCTCGATACCCTTTAAATTTATCTATATAACATACTTCAACGAAAAGAAGCTGAAAAAAAAGTTAAGAGGGATGTTAAAATTAAATTCCGAATAACTCAAAAAGTCTACATTTTTTTGTGAATATTGTATTATTAGGTTTTATAAAAGTTTACCGAATTTCCTAAAAAAACAAAAAAAATCGTTAAAATCGGACAATTAGGAGGAAAGATATGGTCTTTAGTTATTTCCCCTGAAGAGGCGAAAATTTGGATACATTTTTTTAATTTTTGAGACTAAAAAAACGTTTTTTCTACATATATTTGATACAGTGTCTTTCCTAAGAACATCTTTCATAAGAAATAAGTACCTAAATTTATACCTTTATTCTCAGTTTTATATTTCAACACTGCAATCACCACTTCTGGAATCAACTTACTCACTGTCTGCATAGATAACTTTTTCAACCAAAAATATCACTGAAATGACATCATTCAAAAATGTTGAAATTGGAGTTAGTCATTCTGTGGTTTATAAAAGCAAAGAAAGTTGTGTGGTTTATTAAAGCAGATGGAGTGACTAGATTTGTGTTGCCTGTCGTCGATATATTAAATAGACATTTTGTAATTATAAAGGTCTTAATGACTTGTTATCTGTAAGCTTCAAGCTTTAGCTCCGTTTAAAATGCACTTCGAAAAATTTTATAATAGCCCAGCATTGCCAGAAAATAATTTCTATTCAAAGTAGATCGGTAAGTGAAAGTTGTGTGTTGCGCGCACCAGATTTTTTTATTTCCAATGTTGCAAAAAAAAGCGGGAAATGGAAGTTTCTGTCTGAGCCAATTACAGTGGCTATTCAAGGGATCACTAGCGCAGCGCAACGGCCCATCATGCAAAATTTCCTTGGATTTTGCCTAATTACCCATTCCGGGCGGATCTGCAACAGGACAGGGTAACCAGCTCACTGCCTTCCACCAGCTGGTCAAGATATCCCCACCACCCTCTCCCACCCCCGACACTTTCCTTTGTTACCTACTACAAACCGGCTACCAAGCTCAGGGAAGCTTCCGCAAACTAAGCGCAAATATCCCATCAAAATTACATAGGTTGCGGGATTTTGCCTGTAGTGTGAGCCCAGGGAAAGAATAAGTAGCATTAGTTATTTTCTGTGGAACAATAATTATCTGATAAATCTGAAGAACGCCTTGTATAAATGGAGTAGTTCATGAAATGTCTACTGTAGTAGGAATGTTGGGTGTACAGAGCAGTGTTTGAATTGCAGGTTATCTTGTTGAAACAGTATTCGCTTGGTGCTTGAACCTGCAGGGTTCATGACCTACCGGTCACTAACCAAACTACGCCCTGTGACCTGTCCCCTCCAACCTGGCACTTCAAATCTTCAGTTCTGATTGACCTTTGCTTGTAGTTGTGTTTTTGGTAACGTTTCTGCTTAATATATTGTAGTTTTATTTAAATTCTGTTGTAAATTATTTTCTATATCTACTTGCAGAAATTGGTATGTGTTGTTATATTAAAATCAAATTATCTTTAATTTGACAATCGTTATAATTTTTCTAAATTCGTTTTATATTAATTATTTGGTCATAATTGCAATTGTTAAGAATTTACATTTGCAGGTCTTCATAATGGTCATCGAAAAAATTTGTTGCATTGGGGCAGGATATGTTGGTGGTCCTACATGCAGTGTAATTGCATTAAAATGCCCAGAAGTTAAAGTAACAGTAGTAGATAAAAATAAGGAGCGAATAAAGCAATGGAATGCTGACAAACTTCCGATTTATGAGGTACACTTGTGAATTATCTTTTGTACTTGTTGTAGATTACATTTTTCTGATTTCTTCTTTTTGTTTAAGCCTGGTTTGGATAAAGTTGTAAAAGAATGCAGAGGGAAAAATCTTTTTTTTTCTGTCGATGTTGAATCAGCTATAGAGGAAGCAGATTTGATATTCATATCAGTGAATACCCCTACAAAAACTTGTGGGAATGGAAAAGTAAGTAAATTTCTCATCTTTCACCTCCTTCCCATCATATATGCTTACTTAGCCATAATTTATTTTGTGGGAAAATGAGCTATTACAATTGTTCTAGGGAAGGGCTGCTGATTTGAAGTATGTTGAATCAGTTGCTAGATTGATAGCAGATGTTGCTGCGGGAGATAAAATAGTAGTTGAGAAATCTACAGTTCCTGTAAAAGCTGCTGAAAGCATTATGAATATTCTTAGAGCGAACCAGAAACCTGGAGTTTCTTATCAGGTTTAACTTTATCGATTAAATTGGGTTCTACTTTACAAGTGTTACCCACTTTGAGGGGTTGGTGCAAGGTCTTATGATCTTACTATAATTGGAATTTCATGAATGCCTGAGAATTGACTTGATATGGGATTGAATTACATTGCTGCTTTCAGCTTATGCATGCTCAAAATGGATAAACAAATCACCCATGGGGTCTTTTCAATTAAGGTTAGGACCTTACAAGACGATTCGATCTCATATCTTACAGTTACTTTCAGACAAAGTCAGCCAGGTATGGATTCTAATTATAATGTGATCATGGGATCTGGTCTAGGTAGAGCCATGTAAAGTAGTACATTAAATTGACATCATTGATATATTAAATTTTTATGTATTAATTACATTTTTAATTTTGTATTTAAGATTTTATCCAACCCGGAGTTTCTATCAGAAGGCACAGCTATTGATAATCTTCTAAATGCTGATAGAGTACTGATTGGAGGTGAGGAAACAAAAGAAGGTCAATTGGCCATTGAAAAACTATGTTGGATATATGAACACTGGATACCGAGATCAAAAATATTAACCACGAATACGTGGTCATCTGAGTTATCAAAACTTGTAAGTGAATTACTCAATTGACTTTATTTTTTGGAGAGAAGAATAGTTGGGGTGATCAGTCAAATAAGAAGGCAAAAATAAATGATACTATTTATTTTGACATTAGCCGACGTTTCGACCTGAAGTTCAGGTCATCATCAGGGCTAAGAAAAGAACCAGATAGCTGGAAATAACTTTTTTGATGTTTCGGATTGCATTTTCCTCTTTAGCTAAGGATCTTAAGATAGATCAGTAATATATAAACCTCAAGTTTAACTAAATAAGTTATTTGAATAGGAGTATGAAGATTGCTTTTTATTTTGTAGCCCTGCCACAGAATTAAAAATAAATTCCTGGAAGATTTAGATAGGAAGGATAAGGTTATTTCCTTAGTGGGTTTTTTTTTTTTTTTTATATCCATGTATTAATTATATATTATATCGATTATAGTTGGCAATTTATATCCATCATGAATGATCACAAACATAACAAAAATCAAGTGATCAACTTCTTGATCTCCGCAGTACAATGATGAGCCTACTTAAAAAATAAAGTCATAATTAATAAATGGTTGACTGTAGTGAATAATGGAGAGAAGAATAGTTAGGGTAATCAGTCAAATAAGAAGGCAAAAATAAATTATACTATTTATTTTGACATTAGCTGACGTTTCGACCTGAAGTTCAGGTCATCATCAGGGCTAAGAAAAGAACCAGATAGCAAGGTATGAGAAACATAAGTAGTGTAGGAAAAACAATTAAAGTAAAATTCAGTTGTTAGAATAATGACAGTAGTAAGAACAAAGAGATAAATGATAATAAGCGGTACAAAGTGTGGAATGATGATGTCATGTGTTTCCATCTGCAACATTATTTCCAACTATCTCTTACACCCACCGTTCTCCTCTTCTTCCTTTTCCCCTGAATTTTTCAAAGACCTCTCTTTTACCCGATCCTTCTTAAAATCCCACGATAATATAATCATAACCAGGGCTGATTAAGGCAACAAAACTATAGTTATGGACCATACAGAATATACTGACAAAATGACTTCACTCCTATCAGACCGTTCCACTTACTCTCCTGCATCCCGTGATCCCACCTTATCATTAAAAACCAAATTTAACATACACCTAAAAAATCTTTTAAATTCTAAACTCATAAACTACCCTACTTACAGAAACCTTATCTCCTACAATTCAGTTGCTCCCTGTTTTTATGGACTTCCTAAAATCCATAAACCCGGCACCCCACTCCATCCGATCACTTCCAATATTAATTCTCCTTCAGTTAAACTTGGCAAATTCTTACTACCTTCCTTACAAATCTTCGGCCACAACAACCCTTATGATGTACATAACTCATTCCATCTCCGTGAACAGTTACTCTCCTTTACCATTCCAGACAATTTTATTCTTTGCTCCTTTGATGTTGAAAGTTTATTTACGAATATACCCATAGACAAGGCACTTACTATAATAGACGAAAATTGGACTATCATTGAACCTCACATCTCACTTAACTGTTCCTCATATCTCGAATCCCTTAATTTTTGCTGTAAATCAGGCTACCTCACTTTTCAAGGAAAATTTTTTAAGGAAATCTCCGGGCTAGCAATGGGCAACTCCCTCACTCTCGACATCTCCAATATAGTTCTCAATGATCTTCTAGACTCCATTATCCCTCTTTACCCAGACGATATCATCTTTATTCGAAAATACGTAGACAACCTCCTCCTAATCATCAATCCAAATAAAATTCCCAATATCCTATCAAATTTTAACTTTTACCACCCCCGCCTCAATTTTACAGTACAATGCGAACTCAATAATTCTCTCCCTTTTATCGACCTTCGATCATTAAAAATCCCAACAACACCATATCCAGACTGGTACACTAAACCAACTTACACTGGCAGATTTCTAAATTACCATTCTAAACATCCCTACCACCAGAAAATTAACGTTGCTAAAAATCTCATCCACCGTAGTCTCTCTCTCTCTGATCCCCAATTTCATGCTACCAATATCAAATGCATAAAACAGATCCTCTCAAACAATAATTTTTCTCTCCATGTAATTAACAAACTTATAACAGACCACAATAATCGCTCTTCCTCAATCTCGACTTCCACTAATTCTCCACAACTCGTTTCGGCCTCTATATACAGATCTCTACCTTATATTCCTAACCTTTCAGACAACATAAACAAAGTTTTACGATCGACTAACCCCAACTTACGACTTGCATTCAAATCTCACAGCACACTCTCTAAATTATACACATCCTTAAAAGATCCTGTTCCTCTCTCACACCGCTCTCATATCGTTTACCGTATTCCATGTTCTGCCCCCAATTGTTTTTCATCCTATATTGGTGAAACCAAAAATCTCCTAAAAGACCGCATCACCCAATATAAACATTCTGTATCCTCACGTAATTTTACCGCCTCCAAATTATCCGAACATTCTCTCTCCCTCAATCATACATTTGATTTCGACAAAACGTCAATCCTTGCCACAGTTCTCAACCATGATAAATGACTCATTTCTGAAACCCTCCACATCCAGCTTCAGCCAAAGACAGTGAATTTAAAAACTGACAAACAAAACTTATCTTTAGTCTACTCCCAAATTCTGAATTTATTAAAACATCCATAGTTATATTCCTTTCCTTTTCACTGACAACTTCCTTATCTATATATATATATATTTAGAATATATATATATATATAAATGTGTATATGTGTGTGTGTATGTATATATATATATGTATATGATATGTATTAATTTCAATTATTCTCCATTATTACTCAACAGTTATTATCTGTATTTTATTGCCTCTCCAGAATTTCTATCCACTTTTAAATTTATTTATAATCTATAAATTATTTATTTTATATTAAACTATTTTACTGCCTCTTTCTATCAACTTTCGTTTAATTATCCATATTATTTATGAATATATCTCTCGTCCTTATTTATGCTTCTGGTATTTTAGTTCAAACTTCATCAGATAATGGTTGGAGATGACGCCACTATACATCCCTTCTCTCCACCCACACCCTGACTAACACCCTCATTGCGTAGATTTACATCTCCGTAAGCAGGTGGGTCTTCTCTTATTTTTCTTTTCTTTCTTATTCTCTTTCTTATTTCAACCTTCTCAGTTTCCTTCCTCCTTCCTTTCATCCCTCTGCTCTGTTTTAACTCTGTATTATATTATATTTTGTCTATACATCTTGATAGACTTTACAACATTTCAATTTTCTATCTTTTTTTTTTTTTTTTTTTACGAACTCGTACTTTTTAAATCTTCTCAATTCTGTAATCCGGTTGTCAGGCAACTCGCGGTGCTGTGCACATGCTTTAGCCCATCCGGCTACCCCGCCCCCCTTATCTAACTATTCTATTCACAAATATCTTAATTTTACTGTTTATTTCCATTTCTGATATAACTTCATATTTTTCTGTTTTTACATTTTATTCTAAGATTCCCATTTTAATGGTTATGTCACCTTCTTTTTTTTTTTTTTTTTTCATTATGTTTACTTCATCATTCCACACTTTGTACCGCTTATTATCATTTATCTCTCTGTTCTTACTATTGTCATTATTCTAACAACTGAATTTTACTTTAATTTTTTTTTTCTACACTACTTATGTTTCTCATACCTTGCTATCTGGTTCTTTTCTTAGCCCTGATGATGACCTGAACTTCAGGTCGAAACGTCGGCTAATGTCAAAATAAATAGTATCATTTATTTTTGCCTTCTTATTTGACTGATTACCCCAACTATTCTTCTCTCCATTATTCACTACAGTCAACCATTTACCAATTATGACTTTATTTTTTAAGTAGGCTCATCATTGTACTGCGGAGATCAAGAAGTTGATCACTTGATTTTTGTTATGTTTGTGATCATTCATGATGGATATAAATTGCCAACCATAATCGATATAATATATAATTAATTCATGGATAAAAAAAAAAAACCCACTACGGAAATAACCTTATCCTTCCTATCTAAATCTTCCAGGAATTGATTTTTAATTCTGTGGCAGGGCTACAAAATAAAAAGCAATCTTCATACTCCTATTCAAATAACTTATTTAGTTAAACTTGAGGTTTATATATTACTGATCTATCTTAAGATCCCTTAGCTAAAGAGGAAAATGCAGTCCGAAACATCAAAAAAGTTATTTCCAGTTTTGTAGGATATTTCTTACAAGAGTAGATGTTTATTAACCATTGAATGAGATTTCAAGTTTAGATATCAGAACAAAACATTATTAAAAAGAATATTTTGATACAATTCAGACCTAGGGAACCTAAAAACCAAACACATTTTTATGAATAGACAATTATAGTCATGCAGGTACTAAACTGACTTTATATAATGAATTGACGCAGGTACATCTAAATGTATCTGGAAACCCCGACCTGTTATAAAAATGTGAAAAACCGGGGCAATTTTGGATCAGAGGAAATAAATTGTGGAGAAAAATACCAAAGAAGAGCTGCTTACAGAAACTGGTCAATCAATATCTCATGATATGAAGGGACTTAGGTTGAGATGGTCGGGGCATGAATGCCTCAATAGTAGGCTAAAGACCACATGGAAGGCCAAAAAGCAGATTGATAGATCGAATCAACAAAGTTGCACTAGAGCTGAATGCAGATAACTGGAAAGAAATAGGCAGAGATGGAGTAGACTTGATGGAATGGCCGAGCACATTGGGGTGTGGGTTCGAGAGTGTGCCTGGTTCTTTATGTTGTGGGTTCGATTACCACCTGGGTCGGTTAATTTTCATTTCTCAGCGGCCCTTGGGAATAAATCTTGACATTCCCACCCTGGCAATTACATGGTAGCAACTTCACGGTTGCCATCAGGGATTGGCAAAAAGGTCTATGTGGCCTACTTTCTTGAATAGTTCTCCTCACCAATACCAGTACCTGTATATGTTTTATTCTCTTATAATGAAAGAATATCGAAGTAAATCAGGATTTATTAAATTAGTTGTTATAGGAAAGAAATATCCATTTGCTTAGAAGTATCTACATAATTCTAAGTAAATGGATACTTCTTAAATGAGCAGTATTCATTTGGACTAGTTGACCTTTCCTCTTAACATTTTAGGCAGCAAATGCTTTCTTGGCACAGAGGATTTCCAGCATTAATTCGTTGTCAGCTGTATGTGAATTTACGGGTGCTAACGTTTCTGAGGTGGCAAAAGCTATTGGCACTGATACAAGGATAGGAAACAAATTCCTAAATGCTTCAGTTGGTGAGTATTTTTTGTAACTAAACGATTAAATAAAATAATGTATACATCTATGTTATATTAATTTACTGCAAGTTCTTTATAAGTTTTTTAATCCATTTCTGTTTCTTTCATTTAAATGCATTTAAAAACTGATATCTGTGGTAAGAAATTAAATACTCATTTTAGTTTTGTTATAAAATATTTTTAAAAAAATATCTATATTACTTTTTACTTTGATATATTTATAAATATTGTTACTTTCATTCAGTTTAGTGTCAATATCAATGTTACTATTCAATATTTTTTTCAATATTCTTATTTTTGCTCTCAGTAGCCATAAAACCTATCATCGTTACTCTATAAATGTCCAATCAATCCCATTAAAGATTCTGGATCATTTAAATTGATATAGCTTAGACGAAGCAACACACCTTTTGGTAGTTATAATTATAAATTGTATTAAGATTTTAATATCGTACGATAGTGTTTATAGTTTAGTTCCTGTGTCTCGTAAATCAACAAAGAAATTATTTCTTATCTTATTAAAATTCTATATAGCCTATTTTAGTACTTAGATATTCACTGGTTATTGGTTTATATTGTTAATAAAATATTCTGTAGATTTTAAACAACTTAATGCTAAAATTTTAGGATTTGGAGGAAGCTGCTTTCAGAAGGATATTCTGAATTTAGTTTATATCTGTGAATGTTTGAATCTTCCAGAGGTTGCTGCGTATTGGCAACAGGTCAGTGATTGCGAGTGTTTATTTATTTAAATTAGATTACACTGGGCGATTTAATTAAACCCATATTGCTAGAGGATGAATAGTAATGCATATTTAACTTAAGTATAAGTATAGTATTATAAATGGATAAATTTAAACTATGAAAGAATGTGAAGATTAACAAAAAAATGGACATTTTCCCTGGTTGAAAGCAAATTTCCTTGAGAGAGGTAACATATGAGTCTTTCATTTGATAGAATCACTAACTCCAATTGCAATATTTTTTATTATTAATTTTAGTGATATTTCTAGTGGGAAAATTTATACCTTTATTCACAGTTTTATATTTCAACACTGTAATTACCTGCTCTGGAATTAACTTACTCACTTTCTGTGCAGATATAAATTTTCCAACTAGAAATATCACTAAAATAACTTTTCTCATAAATGTTGAAATTGGAGTAAGCCATTCTGTCAACTGAAAGGCACGTACATGAGTACTCATATCTAAGGTTAGAGATCTTAGGTTGTAGCAATATATATTATATCTAAGTGAACATCATCATCAAAATCCAAATTGTGTAATTAGTTGATTTGTATAGTACTTTTCTTGCTCTTTAGAGTAGCTAATTGTGAATTCAGTTTGCTTATATATATATATATATGTATATATAGGCATATTAAAATTGGCTTTGAAGTTAAGGGTTAATTTCAAAAATAATTTTCATAACAAAAACGTACATCTGTATTTTTGGAGGTGAATTTAACTAATTTTTAAAATTATATTCATATGAAATCCTTCACAGAATGAATAAAAAACCTTTAAGTGAAATTATGAAAAAACTAATTTGTTTCAATTCAAGCTTTATAAAAAAAATTGCTTTTTACACAAATTTCTGAAAATGACATGCCTGTCTTTGATATGCCATTCATTTGTTGAATATATTAGAAAGCTAAGGATTAAAAATTAATATCTAACAATTATAGTCGAAGAAGGTAATAAAGATTTATTTATGGCTAATAATTTCTGAAAACTAATATTGTTTAGTGGAAACTAAATGTTTTCTTGGAAAATAAATTAAATTTCAAAACTAAGTGCAAACCGTTTACAAGTCAAGTATATTTTAACTTGACAAAGAATTAACCATCATTATGAAATTGTTTAAAAAATATTTTATCATAATTTTGGGTATGAGGGAAGATGTGAAAAAGTGTATGCCGTTGGAAATATTTCTTGTAGTGTTAACAAGTGAGAAAAGTCTGTGGTAATAACATTTAAGAACTTAAGTCTTACAACATGAGGTCCGATAGTTTATAACAATTAAATACTTAATAACTAGTACTGGTAATTTATTTAAATAAAGGGTTGCATGTAAGTTGTGTGATGTGCGTGCCACACCAGATTATTTTATTTGTGCAATTTTTTTTTTCCATTATGTTGAAGTAAATGTAATATTTGTTTTATTTTAAGGTGATAGATATAAATGAATATCAAAAATCAAGGTTCACATCCAAAGTTATTGAATCTTTATTCAATACTGTGACCGATAAACGGATATCTATTCTTGGATTTGCTTTTAAAAAAGATACTGGTGACACTAGAGAATCACCAGCTATTTATGTTGCAAAGACATTACTGGATGAGGGAGCGAAGTTAAATATATATGATCCAAAAGTGAGTTTTTTTATGTTACTATTTGTTTTTTACTTTCACTTATCTATATATGAAATATATACTAAGGGACAGTATTGCAATCGTGAAAATTTTCGAATCTGAGTTTTCAACAGAAATACATGTTTCGAGGTCTTCTGAGTCCCACAAAATAGTCTTTGTGTTTGTGTGTATGTGAGTCTAGCTCAAAAACGAAAAGTCGTATGAAAGTGAAATTGCGCACCATCTCTCATTATTAAAGAGTTACAAAAAATGCTAAATATATCTTTTGAAAGAATTTGATAATTGGAAAATGGAGAAAAAAGGACAAATGTTTATTTAGGTCGAAAATGAATTTCCGAAAATACTATTCAGATGGTATATATATATCGCTGGAAAGTGGAAAATTTTAGGAAAAACAATATCTATTATAGAAAGTAATGAAGATTGACAAAAAATTATAAATAATAATTTTGCGAAAACTAATATTATTTAACGGAAATCACATGTTTTCAAGGAAACTGAATGAAATTTACTAAGTGTAAACTTTTTTAAGTTTGAAAAAAAATTATTTAAAATCCACCTAATCAAGGCAATGGCATTCTTAAAAAATCTATTTCATAGTACTTATGTGAAAGACTAAATGAAATATAAAAATATTTCATAGACGTATAAAGCATATATTTATAACCTTAAATACATTTATTGTAGTTTCATAACTCTAGATCTGATATTTTATTTAAATAATTAGGTATCAATGTCTGTTTATTCCGAAAATGGTCATGTAACCTTTTAAAAAATAAAATTAGTGAATAATTTGCTGAATTTTCCCTTTGTGGAATCCAAGCATTATCGCTTAAAATTAGTGTAAAAACTTTTGACCTGTCGATGGCAGGCAATAAAAATCTCTTCATTTCTTTGTTGTAAACTTTACAATGCAAAACAAGAGTTTAATAACTAATAGGCGTACAACCCATAATCATTTATAGGTTGAATATAGAGATATACTTTCAAATCTCTCTGAGCAGATACACTGACCGGCAAAAAATTCCACCCACTTGATTTTTTCATTCAAAAATATTTCTGCTTTGGATTGGTCTATTGTTTTTAATGAATAAATAGGTAATCTTTTTGTTTATTTGCAATTAGGAATGTTAATATAGAGGACAATAACCCTTTTTTACCTTTAATAATCAAAATGTGATTGGGTAAGAAAGATTAGAAAAAAAAAATTGAAAAACGAACCATTATTATTATTATTCTAAAAGAAATTAATTACATCATCCTTTAGTAGCGCGTGTTTCCTCCTCTTGCCTTCACTACTTCTTGAAGACGCCTCTGCATACTTTCCACCAGTCGGGAAATTTCCTTTGCTGGAGGATAGCCCATTCCTCCCGAAGAGCCCTTTCAAGGTCCTGCTGTGTATCAGGAAGTGTTGCATGCGCTCTTATTCGTCTTCCGAGGTCATCCCATAAATGCTCAATGGGGTTCAAATCTGGAGAACCTGCTGGCCAGGCTAAAATCTCAATATTGTTCTGTTGAAGGAACGTCTGCACTATGCGGGCGACATGTGGGCGTGCATTAGAATAGAACGATCGCCGATTTCGTTGAGGATAGGCAACACATGAAGTTCCAAAATCTCATCTACATAGCGAATGGCCGTCAAAGACCCTCCACGAACAAAAACCAATTCTGTGCGGCGCTCCATTGAAATCTCAGCCCACACCATTAAGGAACCACGTTGGAAAGGTTGGCTCTAGGAAAAAATACAGACTGCATATCTTTCGTTTCTTCTTCTCCACACTCTTTCATGCCCGTCTGGAGATCAAAGAGCGAATCTTGACTCATCTGTAAAAAGTACAGCACTCCATTTGTCCATAGTCCAATGGCTGTGTTCTCGTTCAAAAGCGAGCCGTGTTACTCTGTGAGTTCTGGTCAACTCTGGTCCTCTTACTGGATGAAAAGCCATTAATCCATACTCATTTAATCTTCTCCGAGCTGTACGTTCAGAAATTTGGACACCTCGAACTTCTTCGAGCTGATGAATCGCTTGAACAACGGTAAGGTGCCGGTTTCGTAAAATTCTCAAAGTCAAAAACTGGTCATCCCGTGGTTCTACCCTAGGCCGTCCAGAACCGGGCTTTCTATTGTAAAAACCAGTTTCCCGAAAACGCCTGACGGCGTCTCGTAAAGTTTCATATGGAACTCCGATGGCATTAGCTGCATATCTAATGGAACGTCCATCATCAATAAGTGCCACACCACGCGCAACATCCTCAGCACTAAGAGGCATTTTTAAACTTAATATTGAAAAAATTAAAAGCCGGAGACTCAGAAATGTGCTGCAAGAAACGGTAATGAACTGTATGATACTGAATAAACATTTTGATTCCATAGAAAGTAAACATTGGAATCTAGAATCATTTCATTGAATTAAGGATTAAGGGTTATTGTCCTCTATATTAACATAAGTAATTGAAAACAAACAAAAAAATTACCCATTTAGTCATTAAAAACAATAGAGCAATCCAAAGCAGGAATATTTTTAGATGAAAACATGAAAAAATCAAGTGGGTGGAATTTTTTGCCTGTCAGGGTATATATTGCTCAGTGAGTGGAGTTATGTGTTTTCCAAAAACAGATGGAGTACCGAGGTTTTTATGGTCTAACGTTGATGTAATTAATGGTTTTTTTGTTATTTTAATGGTATTAATGATTTGTTAGCTCTAAACTTTGAGTTATAGATCCGTTAAAAGTGCACTTCAAAAATTTTATAATTGCTCAACATTGCCAGAAAATAGTTTCTATTCAAAGTAGAAAGGTAAATGAAAGTTGTGTGTTGCATGCACCAGATTTTTTTTCTCTAGTTTTGAGACTTGTGAACATATCCATTATTAATAAGTATTGATCGACATTGCTTATTCTCTAAGTAAAGACCAACTTAAAACTTAAACTTAAAACTTAAGAAATACTAATGATTAATATTCCTAATCTATTTATTAGTCTTCTATCCATTGCATAGTTAGGTATTCATTTAGATAAGAAGTTGACTTTGCTATAAAATTGTTAATATACAAGTTTTAGTGAATTGCAGTTTTTTTTTTTTTTTTTTATGTGCTTATGACATAATATAATTACTACATCTTAAATAATCATTAATTAATTAAAAGTTATGATGGTTAATTTTAAGGTAGAACATGCTCAAATTTTTGAGGATTTGACCTATGCTACTGGTTCAAAGGAGTATGTGAAGGAAAGAGTTTCTTTATTTCCTAATGCGTATTCAGCTACGGAGAAGACGCATGCGATTGTTGTCTGTACAGAATGGGATGAGTTTATCGTAAGTACTGTTAACATTTGCAAATTATTAGTTTTACATGTTATTATTGAATTTTATGTTATTTTTAATCCTATTGAAGAATTTCAAAAATAATTCATTATTTAATTTACTATTTTGCCTATACAAAAAATTTGGCATAATGTATTGGGCATTGATCAATCTCTAAGTGATTACATAAAGTAAGTGTAAGAAAATTTTCAGAGGTGTAATTAATTTTTTTTTTTCTGTTACAAAAATAAATATTATTGGTCATTTCATAATTGAAAAAAAAATCAAACCATGAGTAAAAAGATGTTTGTTTTCGTCTTATAAGAGATTTAATTACCTGCATCTTGAAGGGATTCTGGTAGGTTCACTTTACACCATTAGTAATGTAAATAACCAAATAAAGTTAAATGTTAATAATTTGTTTTGGCGAGAATAGCGAATAGCAATAGCCTTCTGCTTTTTATCGGGAAACTAGGTTATTTCACTCAAGATAATTAAAACAAAACCCTGGCACTGGATATAGACTTTTTGAGGGTGTTTAACTGTTGTTGGGAATCTAATACCTTTGTGACACTGAGTGAGCAGAAACAATAAGAATATCTATATGATGTGGGACTTAGTAAATACACTTTAAATGAATTGACTCACCTGGTTTGTTATTCTTCAGTTGTGAGGCCTATAGGACAACTAAACAAAATGACTTTTCACTCCTGTATAATAAAACAATTTATTTTACAACTGTATTAAACGAATGTATAAAAGTCTTATAACTGTAGGCTTGATATTCTTAGTCTTCAATGTAGTAAGCCTCTCTTCTCAGATAACGTCTTCTCGTCTTCGTGTCCAGGCCTCAAGTGCCTGACGTCCTCTTCAGCTGCTGCTACCTGATCGGATCTTTTTCCTTCTTCATCGATTGTTTATCGATATGAGATTTTTCAATGAATAATTTGTCCACTGCACAATTGAGTACAATTCACAGTGCAACCTCACATTCCTATATATTATATATTCCTTCTCATACCCTCACACAATGTCACGTAAAGGAATAAATACTGGGAAATGTCTACTACAGTAATAGTAAATACACCATTAGAATAGAGTACACCATTAGAACAATAGAAATATACAATGTGATTTGGGGGAAAAATACAAAAGCTATGAGTAATAAAATTAATGTAAAAGTAACCTTATACATAAAAATGAGAAATGCAGCTGTAGAAAAATTAATTACAGAATAAAAAAAAATGGGTTGTTTTATAAACGAAAAATGCAAAAATAAAATTATGCTTGCCAATGAATAAAAAACTTTAAAGAGTTGCAACTCCAGCACAAAAAATACAATACAGTGAGGGTCCAGACAATCATTAAACCATTAGGTGTAAATTACACTTTTTTTATATCACTTGTTTTAAAAAACTCAATTGATATTTTGTATCGAGCCTGGAAGATCGATTGCCCAAAGAGGTAGGAAGAAGTAAAGCTGGATTATAAACGCAGCACTGATTATTGATGGCGTCTTGACTTCACAAGAGGAGTGTGGTAACAAATCCATTGGATTGGAAGGATTTGAACCTCCAACTTGGGAGAGTTATAATATGTAAAGAACAGCAGAACATATTCAAGTCTGCCCTATTTTTACTCTTACTTACCTATATATAATATATAGTAAGAAAAGTAATGCGATCATAAAAATTTTCGAATCTGAGTTTTCAACCGAAATACATCTTTAGAGGTCTCCTGTGTCCCACTAAATGGTGCTTTTTTTTTTCTTTATAAAAAACTTTTTGCTATCATTTATAAAAGTATAAATATTTCGTACAAGGTCTTCTACATCTCGTGGAAGGCATTTGCAAGCTTCGCTTTGCACCATTGCGATTGGTGGTGACGATGCCAGGACATACTTCTTTTAATCTGCTTGAAACCGAGTTGTGTCACCCTACCATCACACTGGCACCATCAGAGCCGAATCCTATTATATTTGTCAATGGAACATCATTTTTCTGGAAGCTGTCCACCAGTAAGAAATACAGTCGCTCTCCCGTTCTGTGCCTTCTTCTGATATTTCATAAAAAATAGACATTTTGATTTCTTCTTCGTTAATGAATCTTACCACTACACTCACAGTTTTTTCTTTTGAAATGTCAGTACTTTCGTCCAGTAGTAATATGCAAAATTTGTATTTTTTTAGTTTTTCAATTAAATTGGTTTTATAATTTTGTCCTATAACGTTTGTTATTTTATTTTTATTTTTTTTAGAAAATTAAACTTTAATCTGGGACTTTATATGGGGTTATTATTGTATTGCACTTTGTATGCTTTAAAAAGACACGAATAAGCCCGTACCTATCCGCGTGTGGTATTTGTACCCACTAAAACCATCTCTCTACACCTCTTTCCCACCCTCCTTGGGTCTGCCGTTAGGCATTACTTCTTGGAGGGGGAGTGGCTGTGTGACGCCTCATGTCCTCAGACTGCCTCTTGGTTCGCCTTTCCTTCTCATCACTCCTCACTCTCTTGCTGACTTGTGCTGCAAAGTATTGTCCCACTGTCCAGCACTCTTGGAACTAAGAAAGATTATCAGCTATTGATTCTGATCTGCAGGCATCTCGAAATTCTTTTCTTTCTTCTTCGAAGCAGGGCAGGAGAAGAACACATGTTCTGCACTCTCTTCTATAGCATAGCACCCTGGGCAATCTACTGTATTGTCCAGCTTAAACCTATACTGGTAGATTGGAAAGCATCCATGTCCAATAAGGAGCTGAGTAAGGTAGTAGTCCACTTCCCTGTGCTTCCTGTCTACATAGGTTTGGATACAGAGAATCAGTCTGTGTGTCCATCTGCGTTCAATGCAATATCTCTGTGTCGTAATTTATTAATTGTCTCATTTCTTCCTTCAATCCTAGGAAGACGATCGACTCTGTTATAAGGCATCCTTGCCACCACACATGCTGCTCCATATGAAAATGTGCGGATTGTATATATCACACTTAAGGTGCTTCAACATTGGTCTTCTGTAAGCCATAATATCGAGGGCTCCTCTCCATATAGCAGCTGCGTAGAGTAGTATAGTTTAACCACATTTGATACCAACAACCTGCGGCTGTGCCAGGGTTCTCCAACATTTGACATCAGTCAGAACAGAGCTGTGGCCACTCTAGACATCTTTTCGCTCCCTCACTTGATATGCTCCTTAAACCTGACTGAGCCTTTCATCAATTCTCACCCCGAGGTATGTCAAGAAAGAATTAGACCTTATCTCCTTTCTCCACATAGTCAGCGTGATCTCCTCTCTCTTTTTTCTACTACTGACCAGAAGGACTTCTGTCTTGTGATCCACGACCTGCAATTCCACTGATGCCAACCAGTTGCGGATTAGTTCAATACTCTGGTTAGATCATAGGATCACCTCTTCTTTGTACTTGGCTTCGACTGCAACTGCTTAGTCGTTGGCAAAACCCACTGTTTTAGCCCCGTCTGAAAGGATGAGTCTGAGGACACCATTGTAATAGGTCACTGTTAGGAATGTCACTGAGTTCTTCAGCTGTGACTTCTGTCACATCAAGTGGTGTTAGTGACCATGATTGTGTCAGTACCTCCTGCTCTGGAAATAGTGTGGCAATGATTGTTTAGACTGCCTCAGAGCAGATAGGCGATTAGGCAGCGTTTCTCTGTAGCTTCTTCTCAATGGTTTTGTAAGGCCTTCCCCATGGATCTTCATCCGCTTCCTCACAGAGTTCCATTCAGCATCGCCGTTGGCTCTTTTCGATTGCCTGGCAGAGCTCCCATCCCTTAGCTTTCTACTCCACTTGAAGATCTTGGAACTGGGGGCTACCTCTAGCTCACTGATACTTCCTCCTCACTGTGTGACACTGTTTAGGGCTATATGCTCATTACACCAAGATACCGGTAATCTTCCAATCTCTGTCCAATCAACCATGGTCACGTCACAAGCTTTGCTGACAAGATCTATTACCTGGTGGGACTTATCCTCTGCTATGTCTGACAATTCACAGGGTGTCTCCATCATGATTTAGAAGTTCCCCAAGGTGTATTGGTTGCATGCCTGCCAACTGCTAGTTGGGGGATGGGTGTCACTAACAAATGTTAAATCGATTATTGAACACCTGTCTCCTTTCACAAATGTAGGTTCGATCCCTGTGTTTGCCGGTACTAGGTTCTCCAATTGGACAAAGGCTTCTTTTCTAGTAGGATTTCTCCCCGCCGGTTGGTTGATTGACTATCCCACGCATGTCGCCCAGGCATTGAAGTCTCCAGCAATCACAACAGCCCTTCATCCTCTTGGGTCTTCGACTATGAGATTCAAGAAATCTGAGAATTCCTCAATAGTAATTTAAGGAATCACACATACAAAAATGTGTGAACAGCAAAGCTCATAAACAAAAAGTCGTACGAAACTGAAATTGTAAACAGCCGAGCTCAAAAACGAAAAGTCATACAAAACTGGTATTGCGTATTTGAGGTTCATATGGCTCAGACGTGGCAGAAACTTTTTCGTTAAAATAAGCTAACCAGAAATTCCACTTCAGATCATCGATTTTAGACATTTTTTCAATTGTCTAGAAAATCGCTCTGACGATTTTGATTAAATTCATTATATTAGTGCAAAATTAAACACTTTTTAATATAATGTTGGTCATATACTCATTGATGATCTTTATAAGCGCTTAAATGCTTAATTTTCAAAATGTCTTCCTCTAAAGTACTATTACTTTTTTTTCATTTTGAAAGAATTTGATAGTTATCTAAAGGATAAATAACCCAATATAATAACAGAGAATCGACGAAACCTGAGCCCACAGTTAAGCCTCGCCAAATGTTAGAACAGGCTTCTTTATATCACGTGTGGTTTTCTTAAAGTATTAATATTATTTAATTGTATAGATTACAGCAACATAAAAATTAAAATTTATATGTATTTACCCAATGCTTAAGCAAATAAAAATACATAAATGAAATATATATAAATGTAGCACCCTTCATTATCAGTGGCACTCATGTCGAACTAAAAATATTTCATGACACTCGATTATTTTTTATAATCAAATGAATAATTAAAATATACAAACATAAAAGATAATGGTTAGCAAAAGAAATATACGTATAATGTATAAATATACATTAGACGGTGTCAAAAACAGATGGTAATTGATTGTCTCAAAAAATATTTTGTATCCTCTGTGATTTTTAGTTTCTCTTCCCTTTGTCTGAAAATAACTATTTCTCCTGAAGGAAGAGTGGTAAGTGAAAGTCATGTGATGCGTGCTAAAATGGCAAAATGGTAAAAACCACACTAGGTTTTTAAAATTGTGAGAAAAAAAAAATGGATCTTGAATCAAGCCCGAAAGAAAGTTTGAACGAAAGAAAGAAGCCCGAAAAAACCTTTGATTTTCTCGAAAATAGTAAAACTATTGCTTAGTCTAAGTAAAAGGTATTGCCAGTGACCCTGCAAGATAAAGGCAACAAAAAATAAATAATAATTGTATTGTATTTTAATAATACTTGTATTGTAAACAAATACTTGTATTATAAATAAATAATTGTATTGTAAACTACTCAGTTCGCGCCTCTTGTCCCGAAACTTAAAAATTAGAATCTATAAAACAATAATCTTGCCTACAGTTCTTTATGGATGCGAAACTTGGCCGCTTACATTAAGGGATGAGCAGCGTCTTAAGGTTTTTGAAAATAAAGTATTGCGTAGAATATTCGGACCGAAGAAGGATGAGTTAACCGGAGAGTTCAGACGGTTACACAACGCCGAATTGCGTGAGCTATATCCGGGTAATATAATTGAGGTAATTTCATCGCGGCGAATCAAATGGGCTTGTAAAGTTGTTGGGCTTAGTAACGAGAGAATTCCTAAAAGGTTAATATTTGCTGTGCCGAATGGTAAGCGTCGGAGGGGTAGACCGAAGCGAAGGTGGGAAGATTGCATTAAAGCTGATCTGAAGGGACTGGGTTTGGACGGCGAACGGTGGAAGGAGGTGTGTAACAAGCGATTGGTGGTGTCGGCATCGAACCTTCGGGTTCGCTAAGCCTTATTATTATTATTGTATTTTATTGTTGATTGTTATGATTAATATATAAAAATCAGTTATTAAAGAAATCTATTAAAAAATTAACGCATTTTCAGACACTCGATTTCAGAAAAATTTATGATGGCATGATGAAACCTGCATATATTTTTGATGGAAGAATGATTTTGGATGATGAAAAACTGTCAAAAATTGGTTTTCATGTCCACACCATTGGTAAAAGGAATATGAGAAGAGGATTGAAGAGAACATGGGGAACACTTGATTGTGCTTGATTAAGTAATTTTATTAATCTTCCTTTAGTTTCCTTTTTTTTTTTTTTTTTTAAATCTTGTGGATCTGTAAATGTAAGCAGTATTCATTTCAGATGTATTAGTATTTGTTCCTTATTTATCATATAATGTTACATTAATTATTTTATCCTTAGTTCAATAACTGTTTATTGTATTATTTATTTTATGGGTAACTTCTTGTTATGTTTAGTTCAATATGTGCATATGTATATATATAATTTGACGTTTCAACCAACATACCATCTTCATGTGCCAAATTGTTATATTATGTTTATTGAAATTTTAACACATAAGGTCCTAATGTAGACCATGTCAATTATTTTATCATTTAAAGTTTTAGTAAATCAGCTACATACATATCTTCACAATGTTACACAATCATACATTGTTAATGATAAAGTTTGCTGATAATGAACTTTGGGAGCTGAAACCTATTCCCAAGCTGGTTGACCTATTGTCCACCTAAGCTACTGCTTGGGTAACGATCGTAATCGGTATTGACATATTCTATAGTTAAAAACAATATTTCCACTAACTTTTAAAGAATATGTAGTGTCGAATTGAACTCATTCTCTCCTCCCGACCTGCTATCTTTAAAGGATCAATATAAACTTTCAATGCTTTTATTTATACATCCCTTTGCTTTGTATGCAGAGATTTGTTTATCAAACTTTTTTACTCTGAATATTTAGCGTGCTTGGTGGATGGATAGAAAATTTAGGGTTCTAGTAGAAATGACAATGATACTAACATGAGGGGAAGGAGTTTGAATATTTAGAGAATTAAATTAAAGTACCTAGAGTTTACAGTATTTGAAGCAAATGAAATCCTACAGATAATAAAACTAAAACTATATGTCAGAAATGGTGATTGTTATATATTTTGCATCTATTTCCTAGAAACTTAAAAATGATGGTACTATTATCGCTATATTTTTGGAAATCAAGTCTCACATTAAATTTTGGTTTAAAAGGAAGACATATAAAATAAATGGCTATAAACCATGCACTCACTACCTATCCTTGGAATGAAGATCTCCAGAAAGATAATCAGCTCAAGACAACAGGTAAACAGTCGAGAGGTGGACAATGGGTTTGATGATGGTAACATTGTGTTACGGCTGATCTTCTAGGATTAGTAAGTATTTGAGTGATTGAGTTGAAGGAGGTGTGTTGATAGTATATCGGTAGAGTAGTCATATTGGCATCGAAACTCTATTCATTATACAACTTTATTTTTTCCATGCTAATTGTATTATCGAAGGTATTCGGTAGTATTGAGTATGTTACATAAAAAAATTTTGTGATCACCTATTTATTGATGTCTAGAAGCTATTAAAAAAATAACTCAATTTTTATAAGATTTTGTACAACTGAGTTTTGCATTTTTTAACTCTAAAAATATACATAAAATCCATGAATGTTATTTATAATTTCATCTAGTAAACTTTGAAAAATATTTTACCTGAGTTCTTCGGAAGTGTAGGTAATGTTTTGGTGTGTTATTGTTAAGGTTACCTGTATGATCTGTCATTATCATGAATATGTAAATCCTGTTAAGCTGTGAAGATTGGGAGGAAAGATAGTTCATACATTTCTCCTTTTTCTGAAATTAAGATCTGATTTCAAGTTATATCTTAAGCTTTATTAACATCAACTCCTATTTTACTGAAAAATGATGTTAAAATCCAGTATTATATAATTTTTATTATCTGTTTTTTCTAACTATTCTTTTTTTCAATTAGTAACTGGCAATATTCCTATATGTATACCTTGATTTTAAGATAAAATATTGAAACTTATTTCCAATGTGATAGATAAAATTTTATGTTAAATCTGTCTGTGATTGACTCCTAAGGATTATTTTCCAAGGGATTATGTATGAATTGTTGTTCACTTGGCCTCATCAGAAGAACAAGGTAGCTATATCAAATAAATTAGTAGTTAATAAATGTATAGAGCTTCATTATTTTCTTATAGTGTTTGTCCAGACTGTTGTATGATCGTTTATATTTGTAATTTTTTTTTAAATGTAGATTGTTTTCAAAAATATATCTAAGATTATTATTGCCATTATTGAGACCATTTCGCTTAATTATGATAAATTTTTATTATATTCAAAGAACTTTTTATATTGTTTCAATAGTTAATTCTTAACTGTTTAATAGTTAAGTGCAAACTTATGTTTTAATATTTATATATACTTTGAAACAAAATTGATGAAATTTATAATGTAACTTATAAAAATGATGTCTAAATGGTTACACTTTATAATTATGCTCACTAATCTTTAAAAAACAATGAAATTGTTTACATTTATTATATGTATATATTAAGTTTTATTACAGTGTTATCTTTTACTGTTGGTATACTACTTGATCAGTCTATCGCTGCCTCCCTCCTCCAAAATCAATAACTTGATAAATTGATTGATGTCAAAGAAAGGGTGTTAAGTATTTGTTGGTCATCTTACAAACTTTATTTATCATATAAATTATCATTTTTTAAAAAGGTTTATTATTGTGTATTGCAGTATTGAAATATTAAACATTGTACCCAATATATAAAAAAGTTATGAATGAAGTCCAATTATGTCATAATACAATTTTGATAGTCTGAAAAAGTGAGCAAATTTTATGAGAAGGTTTCGATAGAGACTGTAAGAAAAAAATTTATATATATGTATACAAAGGCGGATCAACAGGAGGGCTTTCAGGCTGAAGTCATGCCCACCTCTCCCCTCCCCAAATGGTAAAGTGTGACCATGTTTTATGGAAAAAAATATTAAAAAATTATCTCTTAAAGTATTATTGTTCATATAATTACATTTAATAAGATTTCAAGAATCACTTAAATACCATTTCATATATCCGCTAGTGTATGTATATAAAGTGCTTACTGAGAATTAGTATTTTTCAATGAGACAAACCTGAATCCTGTTTCTGTTTTGTGTTATTCCCAAAATGAATTACTATCAAGAAGATTCATCCTGCATTCGAGAAACGAAACAAATTGAAACTATAACATGAATAATACAGTTTAAAAAAAGTCCTTACAAAACATCACTACTTAATTCAAGTAACAGTTATCAGTTAATTTTATATCTTTATTTAATAATCATAATTAAAGAGTCATAAAGTTTTTTAGCAGTTTAAACAGTTTCATTGTTTTTCTTTCTCTTATATTGGAACATAATTATTGTAATTTACATAATCACGATAAATGATATGAATTAATCAGTTTTGTGAATCCCTGTATAAGTTATACTGGTGTTGGTAATAATAAAAATATAGTAGATATTATATTGAGGTTTATTATGGTTACAGATTTGTGTGCAATAGTTCTCTTCTGCTGTTTTATTTCTGAATATATTTAGAAAATTAATTTGATTGAGAACAAATTCCAGTTGGTGTGGTGCTCTTTTTACAATTATTGTATTATTATTGTTATTTTATTTTAATATTTATGTATGACGTTCCTCTATTAAGACTCGTTTTTAAGTACCAGCTTTTCATTTGTAAAAATATATTTTTAAAATCTATTTTTACATCTTTATTTATAATATTATTCAAGTATCTTAATAAATAAAGTTAAATATTAAAAGTTAAAAAGCTTATATTTATCTAAAGATCCTGTCATAATTTCATGTTGTGTATCTGTCTATGTGTGTTACTAACCTACTATCTGTTTAAATACATCATGTAGAAGAAGAAGGCTAATCTTAATTTGATAATGACTTACAAACAAGCTATGTCGAGAATAAAAACATCATGTTAGCATCCTGGTGGCGAATAGGCGGATCATATCATGAATCGAGGCCTTATTCTACTTGAAATAGATCAGTAACTTTTAGAATAACTCAATGTATTCTTGACATTATAGTTAGTTTCATTTTGACAAACTGAAATGGCAGTTAAAGAAAACCTTTCATCAACAAATTGTTGAGTGAGATCTGGCAATGCTGCATTTTCTGATCTTTTCACCAATATAATCTAGTTTAAGTAGAAAGAAGCTTGTCAATAGTTCAATAGAAATGAAATATTAACTTTATTATGGAACAAAGACCCCTAAGAATAACAATATTGCTCATATAAATTAGCATTACATCTGGCGAAAAGAGGTTGTACACTAAAAGAATAATCTATCTTCTATATATATAAAAATGAATGTATGTCTGTCTGTCCATCTGTTTGTCCTTGGTGCATTACTAAACTATTCATCCGATCGCCATGAAACTTTGGGAAGTTGTTCCATACACTCCTGGGAAGGTTTCTGGCATATTACTTCTGTCCTGCGATAATTTTATATATGTAAAAAAAATAAAAATGTAAATGTTTTTCTGTTCAAAGCCAAAAAAAATGTGTCTGCTAAATAATACGGCTTTACCGATTTTAACGAAACTTGTCCAAAGTCTTCTCCTTGAAACCCTTTTAATTTATGTGTATAACATACTTTCCCGAAAACAAGCTGGAAAATGTTATTATGAATTCAATATTCTATTTGCCGATAACTAAAAAATTACACAATTTTTGACTGATAATACCCATATTTATTTGAAAGATTCCTGATTCGCCGACAAAATAAAAAATATGTCATCGAAATAGATAAGCATTTTCTCCTAAATAAAATTATTTCTAGCGGCCGTAGGAGTAAAGTGGGTTAAATTATTTTTTTAAGGAGAAACAAAGTTGAAATTTGTATTTTGTAACTCAATTAATCCTGAAATACCTATTTTCACTGGAATCGAAAAATAATTTTTTTTTTGGCTCAAATTTTCGTCAAGAGATCAATTCATAATTCCTCAGGATTTTCTTCACTCTAGGTCCCAATAAATTGACCTTCAATTTTATTTCGGAAACTACAAACAGTGTGAATACTTAATAATGACTCCACCTATAAACATGAAAAAAATCAGGAGTTTGGGGCCACGTAAACTGCACAAATTGCAATAAACCGTACCCTCACAAGCATGTTAGAAGTGGAGATAAAAAATCAAAACGTATTAGGAGATTTTCTTTATTTATTCCCCATCAAGGCATTAAATCTAAAAGTTTTTGATGAGCAGCATCTCAGCTTTCTAACGGTTATTGAATCATTGTATTAGAAGAAAATCCTGAGGAGTTATGAATTATTTAGCGAACGGTAGGGAAAAAGATTCCAATAGACAATGAATTCATAACCAGAGCAACCGGATTGACACCTGTCTCATTATCTTCTCTTCTATCTTCTATATATATAAAAATGAATGTATGTCTATCTGTCCATCATTGGGAAGTGGCCATCATCGCTCATATCTTTAAGAAAGGAGATAACAGAGATTGTAACAACCACTGAGGCATATCTCTGTTAAGCGTACCCAGTAAGATTTACTCTAAGATCATAGAAAAGAGAATAAGAAGAAGAATCGAAGGATTACTTGAAGAAGAACAATGTGGATTTCAGGAAAATCGTAGCACCCAGGATCTTATCTTTACCATGAGACAAGTTTTCGAAAAAGTATTGAAGAAAGAAAAGGAAATGTCAGTGTGCTTTGTTGATCTTACAAAAGCCTTCGATCAGGTGAGAAATTCTGATATCTTGGAGGCCTTGAGAGAAAAAGGGATTGATCAAGGTTATGTTCTGGCTGTTGAGAGTTCCTACAAGAAACATAGTAAGATTTGCCAACTGCACTTCACAGAAAATCAAGACAACAATTGGAATCCAGCAAGGTCTTAGTCCTCTTTTGTTTATACTAGTGATGGACTCAGCAATACGAAGGGCTAAAGGAAAAATGCGGAAATATCACCTGGGATATGCCAACCTGAGATAGGTGAGCCTCTCAATACTTGCATTCGCTGATGACGTTGTTATTTATTTGGACAGTGACAGAAATCTTCAGTACAATATTAATAAATTAAAAGAAGAATTGCAGAAGATTAATGTGATCATTAACCCTGTAAAAACGAAAGTAATGAGGGTTGGGAAGAAGCCTAGGAGAAATATGCGCGTCATCAGAGTCGAAGACAAAATCCTGGAGCAGGTATAAAACTTCAAATACTTGGGCGCACAATTTAATGAAAATGGATACATCGGTTCAGAGGTGACTGAGCGAATCGCTACTGGGAGCAGGTTGCTTGAAGCAGTTATGAAAGGTTTTCTAAACAGGCGTGAGGTAGAAAAAAAAACAAAGGTGGCTGTTTTCAGATCGACATTTCTTGCCATTTTAACGTACTCATCAGAATCACGGACCCTGGCAAAGAAACATCAATCGAGGATACAAGCGTCAGAAACGCGATTCCTCCAAAAGATTGAGGGAAAAACGAGAAGAAACAGAGTACGCAACACCACCATCAGGTCGAACGTCAATATTAAGCCAGCCAATGATGCGATTGAGGAGAATCGACTGAGATGGCTAGAACATCTTTTGCGGATGGACCCAAACAGGATAGCTAGCGAAACCTATCGATCTAAAGTACACCGCAAGAGAGGAAGAGGACAGCCTAGAAGGAAATGAGAAGATGGGGTAAAGAGCGACTTCCAGAGAAGAGGTCTTCAATGGAACGGTAGAAGGGGCCTTGTGGAAGACCGGCAGAGCTGGAGAAGGCTCTATAAACTTCCTCCTCACACTGCTTAATGCGGTTCAAGAGGATGGATTATGATGATGATGATGATAGGTAATTGAGCAGTGCTTTCAACCCTACGTCACATCTTCCAGCAAGTCTGGAGGGCCCCTCTCATAGCTGGGCAGTGAGTCCTTCGGAATTAGGCCTGAGGAATTTCCGAGGTATTTTTACCAACCATCCCCATATCCGCCACCCGTGGGTCGCTCTCCTACATGATTATGATCACTGAGGAATTTTTATTTTTAAATAAATATATTGCTATCTTTGTCAAGTATAAAACATATTTGGTTTCAAAAATTGTGTACATATCTGTATAGAACCTGACAACTATCCAGTCATTAAAACTGTTATATTTAAAAATGGTGTAAAGTATTTATTACAGGAACAAATTTAATACTAAAGGAATTAAATATAATAAGTTGCATATTTAATATATGTTTTCAGATCGATGTGAAAATTAAAAATATCAAACCCTGTCAGTAATAAATTACAGTTGGATCTCATCAGTTGAGAGAATACGGTTCGTATCAGATAAAAATATCCAGCTTCAGTATCGATACAATTATTGATGTATCAAGCCCTAGAGCCAGTATGAATACAGCTCAAGTATCAGATGAAAGTATCTAACGCATCAAGTACTAGATTTGTGAGTACTTTTATCCATCCCTCACCCTTCAAGTTGATACTGGCATTGCTCTGCTAAACAGATGTCACTCCAGTCCACCAAAATATTCAATTTGAATTAAAACTACATAATTAGTTGAGAAGTAAAATAATGTTTTTGGAAATACTTATTAGTTTAGAAATAAATATTTTCATTTCATACATAAAATAGTAGATGTGGTAAAGATTGACATAGTAAATCCTCTGAAAGATTTTTCTATGTTTTTTTTCAGATGAAAATTTGAATTACATGTAAAATCAGATTATCCCTGAAGATGCTTGAATAGGCAAACAATTTGAAATAAACCAATTATTATTTATTTATTTAAATAATACCACCGTGCCTGCTTTTGCAACGAGATCAATATTCATATTTAAATTTGCTATTTTTGGTCTTATTCCGCTCCTTGTTCCGGCGGACTCCCTGGCTCTTCTTGTGAGGTTGAAGTGTGCCGGTCCAATTGCTTCTTTCCACCCATACACAAATTCTTAGTAATATAGGTAGTTTTTTTTCCGTAACTAGCTGAGCGAAATCGGTCTCTGTGAGAACATAGAGACAGGTCTCCCTCACCAATTTAGTCCTTAGTGACTCAAAAGAGGTGCAGTTTATGATAATGAGCTCAATAGTATCCCGGATCCCACAGCTAGGGCATAGAGGATCGACATCTTTTCCAAATCCACGGAGCTTGTCTCGAAAACCCCCATGTCCAGTAAGAAATTGCGAAAGCCAGTAATCCAGAAGGACCCTGAAATAAAGCAATGATTTATCGAGACAGAAAAGGCCTTTTTCTACTTATACTACTTTAAAAATTTAGTATTTATTTGACCGCACCCCTCTCCCTGACCAACTCCTAGTAAAAATTGTATTACTTAAAAAAAAATAATAAGTTAATGGTTGTAGTCCACAATAAAAACCCATTATTATCAAATTATTGACAAAAACTTCATAAGTGGCTTCATCTAGTCCTAACCAGAGATGAGCAAATGCTACTCTGAGTACCTAGTATTTTAATCAAATTGAATCAGTATTGGGAATTTTATTACTACTTGAGTTAATTGTATGGTATCGACGGAAGTAGTAATTAATTTCTTTGGTACTCAATAAAGGTCTGTATTTGAGTAGAATACTTGGTGCACGGTACTCAAAGTATCAGTTGCCCATCTCTGGTCTTAACTTACAACTATTTTATTTACGAAAATTCTTGGAAATGCAGCGTTTACGAGCTGGAGATCGATAAACTTCTATTTAATGAGGTACTTAAAACTCATGAACGCCCATTTGCTTTCCACTTTTTTTTCACAAAATCGAGAATAAAGGTAGTCCAAAAAAAAAAAAAAATTGG